TATATTTTGTGTATTTAAAGTGGAGAGTTCTATGAATGTTAATTAAGTCTACTTGTTCCGGATCTGAGTTCAAGTCCTGAATATCGATGTTAACTTTCTGTCTCATTGATCTGTAAGTCTCCCACTATTATTGTGTGGGAGTCCAAGTCTCTTTGTAAGTCTTATATATCTGGGTATTTCTGTATTGGGTGCATATATATTTAGGATCTTTAGCTCTTCTTGTTACATTGATCCTTTTATCTTTATGTAATGTCCTTCTTTGCTTCTTTTGATCTTTGTTGCTTTGAAGTTTATTTTATCAGCAAAAATTGCAACTCCTGCTTTCTATTTATTTATTTTTGCTCTCCATTTGGTTGGTAAATTTTTCTCCATCCCTTTGTTTTGAGTCTTTGTGTATCCTTGCATGTAAGATGGATCTGGATGTAGCATACCAATGGGTCTTGGCTTTTTTTGCCTGTCTGTGTCTTTGGATTGGGGGATTTAGTCGATTTAAATTTAGAATTAATAACAATATATATGAGTTTGATGCTGTCATTTAGTGTTGGCTGGCTATTTTGCCCATTAATTGATGCGATTTCTTAATTATGTTGATGTTCTTTATTTTTTGGCATTTTTTAGAAAGGCTGATACTGGTTGTTCCTTTCTATTTGTAGTGGTTCTTTCAGAAGCTCTTGTAAAGCAGGCCTGGTGGTGATGAAATCTCTGAGTGCTTGCTTGTTCACAAAAGATTTTATTTTTCCTTCACTTATGAAGCTTAGTTTGGCTGGATGTAAAATTCTGGGTTGAAAGTTCTTTTCTTTAAGGATGTTAAATATTGGCCCCCACTCTCTTCTGTCTTGTAGGGTTTCTGCTGAGAGATCTGCTGTGAGTCTGATAGGCTTCCCTTTATGGGTAACCTGACCTTTCTCTCTGGCTGCCCTCAGTATTTTCTCTTTCATTTCAACCCTGGTGAATCTGGCGATTATGTGCCTTGAGGTTGGTGTTCTTGAGGAATATCTCTGTGGTGTTCTCTGTATTACCTGGAGTTGAATATTGTCCTGCCTTGCTAGGTTGGGAAAGTTTTCCTGAATAATATCCTGAAGCGTATTTTCCAGCTTGGATTGATTCTCCTCGTCACATTCAGGTACACCTATCAAGCGTAGATTAGGTCTTTTCACATGGTCCCATATTTCTTGGAGACTTTGCTCGTTCTTTTTTATCCTTTTTTCTCTAATCTTGTCTTTTTGTTTTATTTCATGAAGTTGGTCTTTGACCTCTAATATCTTTTCTTCTGCTTGATCAATTCAGCTGTTAAAACTTGTGCATAGTTCGCGAAGTTCTCGTGTTGTATTTTTCAGCTCCATTAATTCACTTATATTCCTCTCCAAATTGTGTGTTATTTTTAACATTTCTTCAAACCTTTTTTCACAGTTCTTAGTTTCTTTGCATTGGGTTAGAACAACTTCTTTTAATTACCAGAAGTTTCTTATCATCCACTTTTTAAAGCCTGCTTCTGCTAATGGAACACAGTCTTTCTCCATCAGGCCTTGTTCTGTTGCTGATGAGGAGCTGTGATCCCCTGTAGAGGGAGAGGAGTTCTGAGTTTGGGTATTCTCAGCCTTTTTAGGCTGTTTTCTTCCCTTCTTTATAGATTTATCCATCTGTGGTCTTTATAATTACCGTCTTTATAGTTGGGTTTCTGAATGGACGTCCAACTTGTTGATTCCCGGCGCTAGAATCTGAGCAACCCACTGCGCCGGCCAAAACGGCGGCTTTAAGATTGATGGTGCTTTTCTGACTCTGCACCAAGAACCGCCGCTCCAAGGCAGCGGCAAAACCGCCTCGCCGGCCTCAAGAGTCGTGCTGGCGACACGTGGGGCTCCTCCGCTGGGAATCTCCTGGTGCGTGAGCAACAAAAATTGATCTGAAAGTGTGGCGTCCTCTCGTTCTCTGCTCTTTCAGTGGGGGCTGCAATCCCGAGCTGCTAGTGATCAGCCATCTTGGATCTCTCTCTTTTTTTTTTTTTTTTTTTTAAATATAAGAGTCTTGCTCTGTAGCCCAGGCTGGAGTATAATGGTGTGATCTCATGTCACTGCCACCTCCGTCTCCCAGATTCAAGCAATTCTCTTGCCTCGGCCTCCCGAGTAGCTGAGGCTATAGGTGCCCGCTACCATGCCAACTAATTTTTGTGTTTTTTAGTAAATGTGGGGTTTCGCCATGTTGGCCAGGCTGGTCTCAAACTCCTAACCTCCAGCGATCCATCCACCTTGGCCTCCCCAAGTGCTGGGATCATAGGCGAGAGCCACCGTACCCATACTGCATCAGTTGTTTAAGTACAGAAATGGATGATATAAACTGGCATATTACTGTTTCCCTGACTCACCCTGGCTGTCCCGGCACCTTGCCTAGGTGACCCTTGACCTCCAAATAATTCATTAGTTAAAGGGATAATGTCGAGCCCAGTAGAGGGCCCAGTGCTAGTGCTGTTCTGAGTGATCGGTGCTCAGATACTTTGCATTCTAAGTATTAGTAATACCCACCTGTGCATGAAACAATTGCAAATGGCAGAAGTTGGGGCAAGTCTAAAATCCTGGACTGGTTTCCTGCCCAGCTGCCCCTGAGTATGTGTGTGTGTGTGTGTTTGGGGGAGGTGGTGTCATGGTGGCTCGGCCTCTAATTATATCTCCATTGTCCCCAGGGACGATCTGACTCAGCTGCCCTTCACAACTATGTGCATTAAGGAGAGCCTGCGCCAGTACCCACCTGTCACTCTTGTCTCTCGCCGCTGCACAGAGGACATCAAGCTCCCAGATGGGCGCATCATACCCAAAGGTGCCCGCCGTGTTTCCCCTGCTGCTGGTGCACTGCCTCCAGTGATGTAGCTGCTCTATTGTCCATGGGGGGTCTGGCTATGCCTGCCCCAGGTGCACTATCCCTGCAGATGGGGCAGCTCTCTGTGTGCCTGTTGCTTCTGGGGTGCTGGGGGAAACCCAGTGGTGTGTGCAGGGAATAGAGCCGGGTGAGTCCAGGTGGCAAGGAAGGAGGCAGTGTTGCAGGGATGGGTCTGTGAGGGTGCAGTTGGGGAGCATCAGTTTCATTCAGTTGTCAGTTACTCTCTGGAGACCAAGCCCTGTCTTGGTTGATGCTGGGGATCCTGGCTCAGGTTTTCAGTATTGCCCATTCTTGGGGAGATACAGCAGGGCGCAGATGTCCCCAGGAATGTGGAGTCAGGACTGGGCTAAAGGGAGAGATAAAGGCTGGAATAGCTCAAATATGGAGAGGAATGCAGGGAGGGCTGCCTGGAGGAGGGAATGTAGGAGGTGAGGCTTGGAGTGTAGAAGTGAAAGAGTGAGCACGTTTATGGAGTAGAGCCTCAGGATGCAGATTGTGAAAGGCCTGGAGTGCCAGGTGATGGCACTTGAGCTGAATCCTGGGGGCAGCAGGGAGCCAAGGTAGGTGTTTGAGCTGAAGAGGAGCAATGTCAGATCTGTGAGTGAGAAAGATCCCTATGTGGCCAGCATGGCAGCAAGAAAGAAGATGATAGAGTCCTCCTAGGGAAAGGCGGGAAGAGTGGATGGAGCAGCAGAATTTTCTAGAGAAAGATGTACAGAAGGTGGTGGCAGATGTCTCCTGGACACATCATGGCTCCAGGGAGACCCAAGGAGGGCGATGTTTTTGGAGGAGACCCTGGTTCCCCTTTGGCTCACTGATCCCATCTTTCCCCACAGGAATCATCTGCGTGGTCAGCATCTATGGGACCCACCACAACCCCACAGTGTGGCCTGACTCCAAGGTGAGTGAGTGCCTGCCCCAACTCTCCCTGCCCTCAGGTCCTCCCCTCCCCTGTGTCCCAGGGAGCCAGACAGCGGGGCCGTTGCAGGGTCTGAGTGTGCATTCCCCTCCCCCCTGCCATTTAGCCATCTCTTCACCCATTTGTTGTTAATTCATTAGGGCAAAAATATTTATTGAGCACCTACTGTGTGCCAGAGGGTGTGTTGGGTTCTGACAATAGAGGATGATACTGTTTTTGCCCTCACAGAGCTCACAGTGAAGTTTGGAGGAAGACAATAAACAAATAAGATTTGGGGTATTGATACATGCACAAAAGAAAAAAAACGGACCGGTTCCAGTTTACAAGTGCAGTGGGTCACACTTGTAATCCCAGCACTTTGGGAGGCCGAGGCATAAGGATTACTTGGGCCCAGGAGTTTGAGACCAGCCTGGGCAACATAGCGAGACCCCCATCTCTACCAAAAAGGAAAAAGTTGGCCCAGGATGGTGGCTTGTGCCTGTAATCCCAGTGCTTTGGGAGACCAAGATGGAAGGCTTATTTGAGGCCAGAAGTTCCAGCCCAGCCCAACCTGGGCAACACAGTGAGACCCCATTTCTACAAAATAAAAAAGTTAGCCAGCCATGGTGATGTACACCTGTAGTGTCAGCCACTCGAGAGGCTGAGGCAGGAGGATCACTTGAGTTCAACAGTTCAAGGCTACAATGAGCTATTTTTTTCTTTTTTTGAGATGGAGTCTTGCTCTGTCGCCCACGCTGGAGTGCAGTGGTGCCAGCTTGGCTCACTGCAACCTCTACCTCCCCAAATTCAAGCGATTCTCCAGCCTCAGTCTCCCAAGTAGCTGGGATTACAGGTGCCCACCAACACGCCCAGCTAATGTTTTGATGCTTTTAGTAGAGACAGGGTTTCACCATGTTGGCCAGGCTGGTCTCAAACTCTTGACCTCAGGTGATCCATCTGCCTCAGCCTCCAAAAGTGCTGGGATTACAAGCGTGAGCCACCGTGCCCAGCCTGCAATGAGTTATGATCATGCCACTGTACTCCAGCCTGAGACCCTGTCTCTAACACACAAACACAGACAGACAAATAAATAAATAAATACATAAAAGCTGGTGGAGGGAGTACTTTAGCTCAAGTGGTTATGAAAGGCCTTGCGGAGGAGAAGTTTGAGCTGAGACCCTAGGGGATGAAGGAGCAGGGAGAAGCATGTTTTAGGCAGAGGAAACAGCAGGTGCAAAGGCCCTGAGGTGGAATCTCACTGGTGTGTGTGAACAACAGAAGGAGGCAGGTGTGACTGCATTGCGGTTAGTGCAAGGTGGAATGGAAGAGGTGGCCTTGAGGTGCTCTCCATCCATCTGTACTGACCCCCAGAGGCTCAGGGAAGGGGCCCAGGCTGGGGCAGCCCTCAAACTCATCTTCAGGCTGTTCTTGCCTAGGTGTACAACCCTTACCGCTTTGACCCGGACAACCCACAGCAGCGCTCTCCACTGGCCTATGTGCCCTTCTCTGCGGGACCCAGGTAACCCCTCTATTTCCCCCAGTCCAAGCCAGCTGTGGAGGAACAGAGGCAGGGAAAGATCAGGAATGTAACTCTCAAGAGCAGAGACCAGATGGCACCCAGGTGTCCTTTCTGAAAACCCAACACCCTCTTCCCCAATGCGCCAGGATGTCCCCAAATCAGAGTCTGCAATAGCATCCTGGGTATTGAGCACTGACGGTGTGCCACGCCCTGAGTTCTGGGCTCCCACGCTCCCATTGGCTCTATGATACCTTCGTCCCCGTTTTTACAAATGAAGGAACTGAGACTCAGAGGGGGCGCCATGCATCCGGGACACACAGCTAGTAAGAGGCTGCACCAGGATTCAAACACTCAACCCCAAGGTCCCATTCATTGAGAGATTCGTGGGGTCTCACTTTAACCCTCACCCAGCCCAGGATGCTTTCTTCGTTTTCTAGAGGAGGCATGCGACGCCCAGGGACCTATGCTCACACAGAAGCTGGGCCTGAGCCCTGTCCCCTCTCCTTCCAGGAACTGCATTGGACAGAGCTTCGCCATGGCGGAGATGCGCGTGGTCGTGGCACTAACGCTGCTACGTTTCCGCTTGAGCGTGGACCGAACGCGCAAGGTGCGGCGGAAGCCGGAGCTCATCCTGCGTACGGAGAACGGCATCTGGCTCAAGGTGGAGCCGCTGCCTCCGCGGGCCTGAGCGGATCCCCGCGGTCCAGGCCCCGCCCAGACAGGCCAAGGCCCCGCCCCAGAAGGACCAGGCCACGTCCCAAAGATCTCGAGCGCATAGGCCACTCCCCTTGAAGTCCAGGTCCAACTCCTGGATGACCAGGCACAGCTGTTGAGCAGCCGGGTGGTGCTGATCATGCCCCTCTAGGCAAGACTCCGCCCCTTAGGGGGTCTAATCCCGCCCCTTGAGGCTTAGGTCCCGCCCCCTGACTGCTCTCACCTGTCCTGTTTGAGGGACCAGGCTCGGCCCTGCCTCCTCGGGCTCAGGCCCCGCCCTTCAGGATCAGGCCCCGCCCTTCAGGATCCGCCCCCAGGATCCTGGGCTTGTAGTCCACAGGCCACGTCCCTGCAGATCCAGGCCTCCAGGCCTTGCCCACTGAGCCTTCGAAGGACCTAAGACCCAACTCTGACTCAGGGTCCACACTCTACTGGCTGAACCCCTGGCTGTTTTCTAAATTGAGGACTTGAAAGCTGGAACCTGAGGTCAGAGCTTTGAACCCGGACATCACTTACCTGAGACTCTCAGCTCATATGGGCAAACGGCTCAAGCATGAGGCTGCCTCTTGGGCTCAGGGCTGCTTGCTTTTGTTGTTTTGTAAACTCAGACACTTGCAAGCCCCTTCCTTCCTCCCTTGCTCAGAGACTCTTTGCTGAGTGTTCTGTTTTTGTCGAACAAAAGCAAAGGATGCAGACTTCCCCCACCCTCCACCCTCAGGCTCAGACAGACCCTTACCTGTGGAGCCCCTAGCATGGGAATGAGGAACTCTGCAACTGAGCAAAGCTGCGGGATAGGAGGCTGAAAAGCCATTTGTCCTAGGACATAAACTCAGATTTTTTGGGACAGTGCGTGTGTTCATTTGTTTCATCAACAGATCACATATTAATTGTCGGCTCTGCTTCAGAACCACAGGCAGGCCCTGATTTCTGCCTTGTTGGAAATAGATGCTCGGTGCCACAAAGAAAAATTGGCACTGAGACAAAGGATGCAATGCAACTTTTACTTCCTGGACTGCAGGAAGGGCACCCCCACTAGCCATCGTGCCTTGAGAGTACAATGAACAAAGGAAAACACACAAATTTATTTCTTCTGCATTTGGCGTCATCCTTACTGATGTGTCTGATCTCCGTTGGCTGGAGCCAGATCCCACAATCTAAACTGAAACCCAATTGGCTAATAACTTAAAGCTTTTCTAAACAGGTAAAAGCAATGGAGAGCTGGGACATGCCTGTGAGCATGCCCAGCACAGATATCTTGGTTAAAGTACAAGGACATAGAATGTACTACGTGCCTGTCAGCATGGCATGTCTAACAGCTACATAGGATAGGGCTTAACAAAGTTATTAACACACTTATTCTTTAACAAGAAAGGAAACTTTAAAAAGGAACTTTTCTATTTCCCACAGCGTTCTCAGGGGGAGAGGGACAGATGTTGAACAGATAATTCCCCATGTAAATGTTTATTTACAACCCGGGACAGGTGCTCCAAAGGAGAGGCCCTGGGTGCTGGATGAATACAGCAGAGGGATGGGGAGTGGGTCAGGGAGAGCTTCTCTGATGCTGAAGTGGAAGTCGAGTGGGTGACAAGGGGAGGGAAGAGTATTCCAGGCAGAAGGAACATCTGAAAATGCCCTGAGTTGAGGGAGAGCAGAATGTGTTTGAGAAACTCACCAGGGGCCATGGAGAGTGTGTGAGCAGGATCAGAACAGGACATGGACAGATCTAAGGCTGGCAGGGAGGTGACATGTGGGGGACCACTGGGGGTTGGGACTCTGGGAAAGAGGGAAGCTGAGGTCCAGACGACAGGAAGGGCCAGGATTGGGGTGACTATCTAGCAGTGGGGGCTGAGAGGAGGGAGGCAGTAAGGCTGATGTTCAGGTATTTGGCTGAGGGAGCTGTATGATGGAGTAGTTCCTGATATGGGAATATGAAAGGTGGGGGCCAGGTGTGGTGGCTTACACCTGCAATCCCAGCGCTTTGGGAGGCTGAGGCTAGAGGATCGTTTGATACCAGGAGTTAGATACCAGTCAGGGCAACATAGTGAGATTCCATTTCTACAGAATTAAAAAATTAGCCAGGCATGGTGGTGCACATCTGTAGTCCCAGCTGCTTAGGAGGCTGAGGCAGGAGGATCCCTTCAGATGAGGAGTTTGAGGCCGCAGTGAGCTATGATCGCACCACTACACTCCAGCCTGGGCAACAGAGCAAGACTCTGTCTCAAAAAAATGATATGGGCAATGACAATGTCAGGAATTTTAAGTACATAAAATGATGATACCACTATTATACTATGTATATATGCACACTATATATACCATCATTATATATATAGTGGTGGTATAATAGTGGTATCATCTTCCTTTTGGGTAGTATTTGCCTGTAGACTATTTCCATCTAGGTTACTAGAGACAATAATAATATTAATTCCACAGGCTGGGCGCGGGCTCATGCCTGTAATCCCAGCACTTTGGGAAGCCAAGATGGGTGGATCACCTGAGGTTAGGAGTTTGAGACCAGCCTGCCCAACATGGTGAAACCCTGTCTCTACTAAAAATACAAAAATTAGCCAGGTGTGGTGGCAGGTGCCTGTAATCCCAGCTACTCGGGAGGCTGAGGCAAGAGAATTGCTTGAACCTGGGAGGTGGAGGGTGCAGTGAGCCGAGATCGCACCACTGCACTCCAGCCTGAGTGACAGAGTGAGATTCCGTCTCACACAAAAAAATTTATTCAACAAATATTCCTTGCTGTGAGACAGGCGCTGTTTGAGCCCTAGGTTCCTAGAGTTGACGGCTGGGGAGGAGACACAATAAATAAAGAAATAAATAAATTCACACAGGGCCTTTTTCTGGGACTTTTTTTTGTGACAGAAATGGGGAGTTCTTAGCAGGGGAGGGAAAAGATTTGTTATACAAATTTTTCTTTTGAGACAGGGTCTTGCTTTGTGGCCTAGGCTGGTGTGCAGGGGTGCAACCATAGCTCACTGCAGCCTTGACCTCTTTGGGCTCAAGCGATCCTCCTGCCTCAGCCTCCTGAGTAGCTGGGACCACAGGCATGCGCCACTACACCGGCTAATTTTTGTATTCATTGTAGAGACAGGGTCTTACCATGTTGCCCAGGCTGGTCTTGGACTCCTCGTCTCAAATGATCCTCCCGCCTCAGCCTCCCAAAGTGCCGGGATTACAGTGTGAGTCACCACACCAGGCCTACCATAGGACTTTGTCTGCAAAGATGAGGCAAGGTAGATCAGTTGGGGGGTGGCTGCATTCATCCAGGTGAGAGATGATGGTGGCTTCAACCAAGCTGGAGTCTTTAGGGGTGATCAAGAGCAATTACATTCCAAGGAGGCGTGATTGTTCATGAAGGCAGTGCTGTTAGGTTTGGTGGTGAATCAAACGTGAGGTTTGAAAGAAGGTGGGGACTGTAGGTTTGGGCTTGGACATCTGGAAAAATGGAACTGCCATCAGCTGACATGGGGAATGCTGAGTGGAGTAAGTGGTTTTGTGGGAAATGTCAGGATGTCAGTTTCAGTTCAGAGGAAATGGACCTGTTAGTTGGATAGATAGTTTGCCAATTCAAGAGAGAGTTTTGGGTTGGGCATGTACATCTGGGAAGCCTTAGTATAAATCTTTTAAATATTTTTCCAAAAACTAGTGAAGTGATTTCAAATGGAGGTGATTTTTCTTACCAGAGGACATTTGTTGAAGTTTGGAAATATTCTTGGTTGTCACAAGTGGTGGTTACTATTGGAATGTAGAGGGCAGGGAGCTGGGACTCTGCTAAACATTCTACAAGACACAGGATACCTAGCTCAATCAAACAAGTCATTATCCAGTTTGAAAGGCAATAATCGAGCAATTATCCAGTTTCTCCATGACCTGGAGAACCTAAAAAAAACAAAAAGAAAACGAAAGGAAGAAAAGAAAGCAAAACCCTAAGATTGGGTGAGATCTCGTGTGTGTGTGTGTATGGAATAAGGGTTTAAGGACTGAACCCTGGGGGTGGTCTCCAAAGTTAACCTAACAATTATGAGGCTGAGCGTGGTGGCTCACACCTATAATCCCAGCACTTTGGGAGGCTGAGGTGGGCGAATCACTTGAGGCCAGGAGTTCCCCACCAGCCTGGCCAACGTGGTGAAACTCCATCTCTACTTAACATAAAAAAAACTAGCCAGACGTGGTGGCGTGCGTCTGTGGTTCCACCTACTTGGGAAGCTGAGGCAGGAGGATCTCTTGAACCCAGGAGGTGGAGGTTGCAGTGAGCTGAGATTGTGCCAATGCACTCTAGCCTGAGTGAAACAGCGAGACTGTCTAAAAAATTTTTTTAAATTAATTATTTTTTATTGAGTGCTTCCTATGTGCTCTTCCCATACAGTCCCATTTAATCCTCACACTGACTTGTGAGGTCACTTTTTATTTTTTTTTTTTCATTTTATTTATTTATTTTTTCTGAACATCTCTTTCTTGAATGATCACTTTTTATTATTCCATTTAACAGATGTAGAAACTGAGCCCCCGAATGAAGTGACTCACCCAAGATACTTCAGGATATTTTTCGGTGGGGCCTCAGCGGGGGGCCCCGAGTCCTTTTCTGCCCCAGCCCTTTTCACGCTCCCAGTCCTGGTCTGGGTCCCTAACCACTTTGCATAGAAGGGGGCGTCGACAGGTGTTGGGCTAGAGTAGGGGGCGTGGAGATGAGCTAAAGCTGGGCCGGCTGTGTTAGAGGCAGGAGCGGCTGCATGTGTCCTGGGGCGCCCCTCGGTGGCCTGCGCTGGGGTCGTCGGCCGGAATCCCCTGTCCGAGTCTACTCCGGGGCTGAATGGGAAACAAACAGGCCCAGACACTACATGAGCCACCTGGATCTTGCAGGTGCTGTCTCTCCTACACCTCCCTCCCAACCGAGGGTCTCCAAGAGCGCATTATTCGCCAAACATCTTCTGGACCCTTCTCAGTGTAACCCCGCCATCCGCTAGCAAACAAAGTTAGCCTTGGGATCCGACATATGTGGGTTTAATCTGGGCTCTGTCCCTTAGCAGGGGCGGCCTTGGGCACGTGATTGTCCCTCTGCACCTCTGCACCTCGGCTTTCCCTTGCCGTGTGAATAGTCCAGTATCGTGACACTGAGTTTTCGCCAAGGGCCACGAGGGTGAATGAATGAGGAGGAGGAGGGGAGGAGTAGGGTCATTGGGTCCCCGGAGCCCTGCTACACCTGCAAGTGTAATTCTCTCTCTCTCTCTCTTTTTTTTTTTTTTTTTTTTTTGAGGCGAAGTCTCACTCTGTAGCCCAGGCTGGAATGCAGTGGCGCGATCTCGGCTCACTGCTACCTCCGCCTCCCGGTCCCTGTTCAAGCAATTCTCCTGCCTCAGCCTCCGGAGTAGCTGGGATTACAGGCACGCGCCACCATGCCCAGCCAATTTTTTGGTATTTTTAGTGGAGACGGGGGTTTCACCATGTTGGCCAGGTTGGTCTTGAACTCCTGACCTCGTGATCCGCCCGCCTCGGCCTCCCAAAGTGCTGGGATTACAGACGTGAGCCACCGCGCCCTGCCAAGTGTAATTATCAAAACACCGAAGTCCGATCCTGTCGCTGGCGGCTGTGGGACCGCCTTCCTCCTGGGTGTGAAGGACGCTCCCTCTGCTGGACAATTCGGAGACAACAGGCGCTAAGGCGTCCGTTTCTCTATTCTTTCAATTTTGTGTCCGCACACGTTGGAGTGTAGATGTGTGACGGCGTTGGTGTCTGGGTGCATTTGCGTAACAGTGTGTGCATTTGTTGTAGTGTGCACACGAGTGTGTGTAAATGTGTGTGTGTGTGTGTGTGTGACTGTGTGTACATATGGGTGGGTGT